GTGACGAGGCGATCATCCTCTTCCCTCCTGGGATTTCTGCTGCTGCCTGACCGAGGTTCGACGTCGAGTGTTTTTTTTTTTTTTTTTTTTTTTTTTCAGCGCCTCTTCGCCCCTTTCTCCTTCATAGAGGCAAACCTCCTGTACCTGGACACACGAATTGATCTAATGGCAGTACAGTTCCTTTCTAGGGTCATGCAGGCAATCCCGGAACACATACATGAAACAAAAAGTACTCAGACGCCTACAGCAAAGTTATAAGATCTTTGCAGGCAACTGGCTGACACACACAGCCAGGGTGTTAACTGTTTCTGTTAGGGGTTCATGGATGTTTCAAGGGGGTTGTGAGTGCTATAGTCTATAGTTTAATATCGTAAAACGCGTGTTCGAATTCTGTCCCAATGGTATTGGGATAAGTAGGCAACTTAATGCCAGGTAAGTAGACGACTAAATGCCAGGTAAGTAGGCAACTAAATGCCAACTAAATGGGTAAGTAGGCAACTAAAGGCCAGGTACAACTAAATGCCAGGTAAGTAGGCAACTAAATGCCAGGTAAGTAGGCAAATAAATGCCAGGTAAGTAGGCAACTAAATGCTAGGTAAGTAGGCAACTAAATGCTAGGTAATAGGCAACTAAATGCCAGGTAAGTAGGCAACTAAAGGCCAGGAAAGTAGGCTACTAAATGCCAGGTAAGTAGGCAACTACTAGCAACTAAATGCACGTAGGCAACTAAATGCCAGGTAAGTAGGCAACTAACTAAATGCCAGGTAAGTAGGCAACTAAAGGCCAGGTAAGTAGGCAACTAAAGGCCAGGTAAGTAGGCAACTAAATGCCAGGTAGGCTAAATGTCAGGTAAGTAGGCAACTAGCCAGCAACTAAATGCCAGGTAAGTAGGCTTCCAAGATTCCCACCTATGTAAGGACTGTTTTAGAGAAATCTGCAGTCGCCGGGAGACGAATCAGACAGAAGAGTCGCCTCCGCCTTACCGGGAAGGACACACTTGGGACCTCTGCAGGCTAGCCTCTTCGTCAGTGTGACGAGGCGATCATCCTCTTCCCTCCTGGGATTTCTGCTGCTGCCTGACCGAGGTTCGACGTCGAGTGTTTTTTTTTTTTTTTTTTTTTTTTTTTTCAGCGCCCTTCTCGCCCCCTTTCTCCTTCATAGAGGCAAACCTCCTGTACCTGGACACACGAATTGATCTAATGGCAGTACAGTTCCTTTCTAGGGTCATGCAGGCAATCCCGGAACACATACATGAAACAAAAAGTACTCAGACGCCTACAGCAAAGTTATAAGATCTTTGCAGGCAACTGGCTGACACACACAGCCAGGGTGTTAACTGTTTCTGTTAGGGGTTCATGGATGTTTTTCAAGGGGGTGGNACTAAATGGCAGGTAAGTAGGCAACTAAATGCCAGGTAAGTAGGGAACTAAATGCCAGGTAAGTAGGCAACTAAATGCCAGGTAAGTAGGCAACTAAAATGCCAGGTAAGTAGGCAACTAAATGCCAGGTAAGTAGGTAACTGAATGCCAGGTAAGTAGGCAAGTTAATACCAGGTAAGTAGATAAGTAAGTAGATACTGAATGCCAGGTAAGTAGGCAACTAAATGCCAGGTAAGTAGGCAACTAAATGCCAGGTAAGTAGGCAACTAAATACCAGGTAAGTAGGCAAGTTAATGCCAGGTAAGTAGGCAATTGAATGCCAGGTAAGTAGGCAAGTTAATACCAGGTAAGTAGATAAGTAAGTAGATAATTGAATACGCAGGTAAGTAGGCAAGTAACTGACATGTAAGTAGGCAACTGAATACCAGGTAAGTAGGCAAGTTAAGCCAGGTAAGTAGGCAACTGAAATGCCAATTAAGTAGGCAACTGAATGCCAGTAATGCTAGTGAATGTCAGGTAGTTAAAGTAAGTGAGCAGCAGCGCAATACTACAGAATGTAGGTAGATGATAGACGATTATATTTTAGGAGGACTATTCTTATCCATTATTCTGTTCATGTGAAAATGAATATGAAAAGCAAACGCAATTTTAGTCTGAAATAAACATTTTATGCCTTATTTTGTAGATGAAAGATAAATCTAGTGCTTGTTACATCTTGTAAAAAAATGTGTAAAAAAATGGAATCTATAAGTCGGCTACGTTAAATATTAAAAAAAAAAAAAAAAAAAGTTGAAATTGAAAAATTGCTTGCAATAAGCACTAGATTTAGGAAGAATCTATTCAGAAATCACATTAGAATTCCTGTGTATTTTTTTCTGGATTTAAACGCCCTAAAAAGGGATACTAAGAATATATGTCACTTTTATAAGACACACATGAAAATATTGCAAAATCTTACTGCAGCATGTAATAGATCTACTATTCAGCTACAAAATGAGATATGATACGTTAAAATAGGACTGAAAATGCGCGTGCTGTGCGTAAAAATGTGAAGGACCCAAACATCGCGATCTTTTTCATTTTATTTCACTTATTATATATATATATATATATATATATATATATATATATATATTTTCCACATTTTACACATGAAATCGTGTACGAAATAATTGTATATGAATATGTTTCTTTTCTTTTCTTTTTTTTGACACGCCAGATTTTTTTTTTTATATATATATTCTGGTAAAATTAGGGTCTCATCTTGCGTGAAATTTAATAATCTTTCAGAAATAATTCTATTTTCTATTATCTCTATTACGTCACAATTGCCGATTTCCTAAGGTAATGTGAAAATATATATATATTTCGGTCGATATAAAAAAAATGGGATGTTACCACCAAAAAACAGGGTCGGGCCTTGAAATTTTCAGGGGAGAATCAGAGGCCCTGAAACCCTTGAAAATGCATTCAACTCGATTTCGGCAAGATGGGCGAAAAATAATTAGACAATCCCCTTGAGCATTAACTCCAAACGGACCAGGCTGCGGGGCACTGGGATCGTCGGGGTATTCCAGGTCGTTGGCGGGAATTGCTTCTAGACCAGATTCTATTGTCACGTGATGATCTATTCCATATCTGATTGGTCCTATTGATATGTTGGATTTTCCGTCGCTCTTATCGACTTTTTTTGTCCTTTTGTCACGGCACCGGAGGCGTAAGCTCACAGTGGGTCCTGGGAATCGTGGATTTTAAAGCCACTATAACACCGTTAATATTAATTTTCGCAGAAAATGGCATAGAAGAAAAATATCATAGAATAATGTGTTCTACCACTTGGTAAGCTCAGATTCTTTATATTAGGTGTGGGGTTGCATTTCCAGTAACACCGGATTTTCCATCCTCTCTAATGCCGTTATTACCAATATACGAAGAAAAGGGTATAGAAGATTTTTTTATACATAGAATGATGTACTCTACTAGTTGGAAAATCACTTCCAATAATATACTTCATTTTAGCTAGTTTTATCCATTACAGGCAAAATATACTTTGTATTGTATATTTGTTAGAACAGAATAGTCACCAATGAAATTTTACGTTTTCTGTCATATCATGTAAGAAAATGTTTAACGGATTAACGGCGGACTATTGAGAAATTGGCGGAGAAAGGAGGGAGAGAGTCAATGACTGAGAGAGATAGAAATGAGGGATGGGAAAGATTGAGAAGATACAGATGGAGAGAAAGAGATGCAGACAAAGAGAGAGAGACAGAGGGAGAGGAGGGGAAATTGAGAGAGGTGGGTGTCATTTAGAGAGAGAGTGAGAGAGGGTGGGTATTTGGGAGGGATAAAGAGAGAGAGAGAGTGAAAAAGGGGTGGAAGAGATTAAGTGAAAGACAGACAGACTGAAAGAGAGAAAGGTTGGGGAGGAGGAAGAGTTGGAGAAAAAAAAAAGAGAGAGGGAGTGATGGGGACAAAGACTGGGGCTTCATTCTTAGCGTTGATGCAAAATTACATTTTTGTATATATCTTTATTTATTTATTTATCTACTTTTCAAGAGGAAGATACAAGTTTCTAATTTACATAAACGTAGCAGCACGATTGGTAAGCAAAATAAATTAAGAAGGATTTTTTTTTCTTTTTCGTAGACAGAATCTTTAGGCCCCTGGTAACATGTCAATTCAAATGAGATAAAAGATAGCGATAGATTTTCCAGGTCGAACGAGTGACACCTGGTAAGTCATCAGTTTTATCTATCTGTATATCTATGAAATCTTTCTCTCGTTCTCTTTCTCTCTCTCTCTCTCTCTCTCTCTCTCTCTCTCTCTCTCTCTTTCGCTCTATCTCTCTCTTTTTCTTTCTCTCGCTCTCTTTCTTTCGCTCTCTCTCTCTCTCTTTCTTTCGCCCTCTCTCTCTCTCTCTCTCTTCTCTCTCTCTCTCTCTCTTTCTCTCTCTCTCTCTCTCTCTCTCTCTCTCTCTCTATATATATATATATATATATAATATATATATATATATATATATATATATATATATATATGGCGCTCTCTCTTTATTAGAATTTTTTATTATCATTATTATTGTCAGTATTATTATCATTATTATTGTCAGTATATCATTATTATTTTTAGTATTATTATCATTATTACTGTTGCTGTTGTTGCTTTTGCTATTTAAATACTCATCCTTATCCATGTTGTTAATCTTATTCTTATTGCACTATCACCACTTTTGTTATTGTAATTATTTCGTTTTAGGTTTGTTATTATCATCAGTATTTTTAGCTATTATTATCATTGTCATTAAGATGTCTATTGGTACTGTTGCCATCAATTTTATTATTGTTGCTGTTGATATTAAAGTAATCGTAATTATGAGCATTATTGTTGTTTTTATCATTGTTATTTGTTGCATTCTGCCGTTCCCTTGCCTTCCCGAAGAACACATGGATTGCATTACTATTTTCATATCATTTTTGCTTTCGTTATCTGTAAAAATGTCTTCTCAGATTACACATTATGATAACCAGAATACATTTCAGTGGGAGATTCATAGTCCATAGGAAAAGGATAAGTTAAGGAAATAGAATAAAAGGGAAATACTAAATGTAAGGAGGAAAAAATGGTCTAAAAGATTACTATATTGATCTACTATTTTTTACCGTAAATATACATATATACCTAGATAACAGTTTTTTTTCCCGTGTATTGCTGTTATTTGTAAAGTTATTTATCATATAAGTCCGGCCACTCGTTTTACGTTCTCGTATTCTCACTTGATATTACGTTTAAGTTCAATAAATAAAGCGTCATTAAGGATGAAACTGATGTGATTTACACTAGTGAGTAGTAATAAGCCTTTGGTCCTATCACATTTCTTTGATTAACTACATTGTTCCCAGTCTCACTGTTGTGTATTAGACGAAGAAAATCATTGCGAGGTGTGGAGATTAGATCACAGCACAACACTGATTATATATTCAGAGGTGAGCTCTAAAGGTGAGAGCTACAGTATACCTGCACTCAGCCAGGAGCGAGGCCAAGAACCATGTGAACTCACTTAAGAAGTCAGTTCAGATTACAAAATAATTTCGTATTAAGCTATCATATCAACACTTCCGGGAAAGTCCTGACGGGGAGCGCCTCGCCGTTCCTCACTGGCGCTTCGCAAGCACTTGCAACAACAGGCGCATCGCTGAGGGTGCTGTTGCTGCTTGCTGTCGACGGTGTATCGCTGTCCTCGAATGCAGCGTTGACCTGGCCAACGGCGACTCCTGACTGAAACTGCGGCGACGAGCTCTCCCGCTCGTGATGTATCTCGACTGTGTGAACGACTGTCTGGAAATGACTTCGCCTTCTGGGGATGCTGCCGTTTCGTTGATAAATTACCGGAGCTTCGCAGCGGTCCTCGGCCACTGGTCCTGCCTCGCTGTGCTGCCGGCGCTCTGGACCTGTTCGCGTGTCGTCTTCAAGGTTCGCGGGCACTATCTCATTTACGGGAGAGTCGTCGCACTGAGAGGCTTCCGACGACGACTCGGAGTCGCTCGGCCCAGTCCCTTTGGACAAGGTCGTCTCTTTGCTCCGTTTGGCCTCCGCATCATCATCTCGCCCCACGTCGGCGTGAGTTGCCGACGTGGGCGAGAAGATTCCGGATCTGTCGCTTGTAAGCAGAACCAGCGCCTTCGACACGTGCGACTCCTCCCACGAGCGGCGGTAGACCTGGAAGTGTTCCCGGATGGCCGCCCGAATGGGCTTGCTGCAGA